CATTATTGGCACACCCTGCAGATGATGACTGCACACACTTGTCCAAACAATAAGACATGCAGCACCCCAATAAGGCAGGCTGTGTATTGAGTTATCATGGCTTTTTAAGAGAGGCACTTATTTGGAAATGTGTTTCACCAGCTGAGTTCCAAACACATGGCAGCAGTTTGGAAATATTCTGTGTGCTTCAAACCCTTCCCATTCCAGTTTCACATCAATCATGAAAGTTATCATTGCAAACAGTAGCAGCTATCATAATACTTACAGTGCAGGTGGAAAGGGATCTGGTTCTGTGCTCCACAGCATCCTTGGAAGTCATGCATGATCTGTGTTGGTTGTGGCCAGTAACTGCCTCTTATATACAGTCAATTACAATTATTTCTGATTCATTGAGATGTTTGTGTGCAATTTGCAAGGAGAAATGACATTTTGGACATTGCTCGTGACCAGCATTTGCCACCCCTCCCCCTCCAAATACTTGTACAACGCATGCATTTCACACACACGCGAGGATATGATTGCACATGATGGGAAGCAGTATTCTGCAAGAGAATTATTGATGTAATTGCCCTCTCGATGGCCTCCCATCGAGAAAAAGTGAAGCTTGTGCTTTTGCTCATCAAACTGACAGACTCTGCTCACCCTGGGTGAGGGTATTTTCTAGTTGGATGTCATTACTAGCAATAGGAAAGTGATGGCATGGGATGCAACACTATGGTGGGCAAACAACAACCAACAGGCTTGATCTGGACCGATATCCCCAGAAGCCCTCCCTCCCTGACATGGACACCCATCATATTGAACTCTGCCTCCAACTTTCCTCCTTGCCCCTGAGCCTTGACACGATTTGATGGTGGCTATCATGATGTTGTATGCTCCCCCTGTGGAGACCACAGAAACCTCCCTTGCGTAGTCTTTCATACCCTCCCATTCCTGATTGTTTCCCCACTTTATCTTTTGTCTTCCCCCTCAACATCCTTGTCCCTACCTCAAGCCATGAGTCTGCCTCTCTCCACCACATCGAATGCCTCCATCCACTATTGCTACAGAGGACCCCCCCACCCCCTACAACACTCCTTTAACACACCCACCCAATGCAAAATGTATGGATCTCTGCTGTACAGCCCCCGGCCAACTTTGACAGACAGTGCCAGCTAATGAGCTAATGACTGATCATATCCCTGACCTGGCCCAACACGGCTCACTGGGGCCCATTCTCTGGACTGTCATCATATGTATCACTTGACAGTGACCACTTCAAGCAGATGACAGATTGTGGCCAATCTCCTGGACTGTGTTTGTACTCTGCTGTTGCCAACTGTACCAGGACCCTCTGAGTGACTGCAGCTCGCCTTGACTCAGTGGGGGACTACTCCCACATACTTTCAGACATGCCCATTTGGTTGAAAAATGGTGCAGTGTGTTTTCTGTACAGGTTGCTATTGTGCCTTACAGGAGGTTATTCACTCTCACTAAGCTGATTCCTACTGACAAGTTGCCTGGCTCTATATCAGTGCTAAACAGAAAGTTAGAACAGCAGTACTGTGAGCCATCTGGCTAAAGTTCCAACATGCTAAAAAGGATGGCACAGCAGGCAAGACAAGGCAGGAAGGCTGCAAACATCCAGGTAGGTGCTTAGTAAATGTGCATTAAAAGAGCATGTGAGCAGCCCTGAAATGCTCCCTGGTCCAGTCCATGATCTGGGTGCCTGCCCCTTTGTCCAAGGTGTTCTTGTAGCAGCATTTCAACACTAGTTGCTGGGGTGTAGTTCCAAAGTGCAGAAGCATCCTGTAAGTGGATCATAGAGGTGGACTATGACAGGCCAGGAGGTGTCTGTGACAGCAGTTACTGCTCATGTGGCTCTTGCCGGGAGTGCCCCCTTAGACATCGATGCCACATGTCAACCATTTAATCCTGGAGGAGCAAACAGCAAGCTGGAGTCACCAGGTGCCCAGTCAGACAGCCATGTCAATTCTCAGCATCCAATTTGTTTCTGATGAGTGGTAGGATAGGAAGCTGTAGACTGATGAGGTGTGATGTCCTGTTAATTAGGTTGACAACAAACGATAATCCCAGTTAATAAGCGTCTCATTACTGCCAAGTGAGAATCTCATATTGACTTCTGGAACCCCATTGGAAAATGTAACTAACTGCTCCTGACATCAAGAAAGGCCTCACTCAACTTCCCACATGTTTCTCCCAAATTTCATATGAGCGTCCATGTCACTCAGCGCCCTGTAAGATTCTACCCACTGAGTCATACTGGGCTTTATAATAACCAGGAAGTGTTTGTTTTTAAATAACAATCCTCTTTCCACACTATTCATAGAATCATACAGTACAGAAGGTCCTTCAGCCCATCCAGTCCGTACTACCCAAAGTATTCTACTACCTACACCAGTTCCTCTTTCCTACAGTAGGCCCACAGTCTTGAATGTTATGGCACTTCAAGTGCTCATCCTACTACTTTTTAAAGATTGTGAGGTTTCCTGCCTCAACTACCCTCCCAGGCATTCTCGATCCCTATCGTCCTCTGGGTGAAAAGGTTTTTCATATTCCTCTAGCAATGAGGTGGTTTGTGGAGGTTTGGTGCAATGTGGCTTGAAAAATCTGGAAGATATACAGGAATTATACAGCTGAAAAACTCAGTTTCATGTTGGCAGTTTTCAAACTAATTCTGGTACGGCCTGCACTAATCGCCATGTTCACAAGGTCAGTTGTGTGGGTGTGTTCCCCATGGGCACAGCAAGTGATTCTCCACTTTCTATTTTGGTGCTCATTGTTTCAGTTAATATCCTTTCTTAAACAGGTACAGCTCAGTGCATGAAGGACCCCAATGGAAAGGATTACCCAATGTACTGGAATAGTGCTTTTAACTGTCTGTTTATGATTGCAAAGTTATTAGAAGTACTTGTTTGTGGAGCAATTGTGAAAAGTTATTCAATCAGCAGGGAAGGAGCTGCTGGACATTTTGAAAATGTTGTGTGGTGTTGAAAGTTCTATGGGTGACACCACTTTCTCGCAGTCCTGGGGACTCCAGTTGCAGTTCATCTTGGGCTGCAGCATCAAAGGGAGATGGAGCAGAGACAGCAGGGAAGGTAAGCTACCACAGAGGACGAAGGAGAACAGTTTAATGAAAACTTTAGTCTGATCTTCAGAGAACACTTCTCCTACTTGTGTCTCTTACTTCTGCCTCAGCGGTGTGTGAGGTTAGCAGTACAATTGTTTTGATTTGGCATGTAAAGATTCATACACTGACCTTGACCACTCATCTGAGGCCATTACATTTCATGTGGCCTTACATTTATATTCTTGGCAGTAGATTCTTGGCATTGTTCCCTGCAACAGTGCAAGTATGTCAGGCAATACAACATTAATGAGATCACGTGTGATCTGTAACATAGCTCCACTTGCCTTTGGGGTGGCACAGTGGCTCAGTGGCTCAGTGGTTAGCACTGCTGCCTCACAGCTCCAGAGACCTGGGTTCAATTAAACCCTCAGGCAACTGTCTGCGTAGAGTTTGCACATTCTCCCTGTGTCTGCGTGGGTTTCCTTCGGTTTCCTCCCACAGTACAAAGATATGCAGCTTGGGTGGATTGGCCATGCTAAATTGCTCAGTGTTCAGGGATGTGTAGATTAGGTGGATTATAGGGGGATGGGTCTGGTGGGATGCTCTGAGGGTCGGTGTGGACTTGTTGGGCCAAAGGGCCTGTTTCCACAATATAGTGATTCTATGATCTATGAACATTCTTTACACCTTTCAATAGCAAAGCTCCAGCAATCTCAGATTGCCACTCATATGGAGTTCCAAATTTCTCCTGATTTTTGTGTGAAGAAATAATTTCTAATTTACTGTCTAAATGATCAGTTTCTGACTTTTTTTTGACAATGCCTCCTTGTCCTAAGGTCCCCAGTGAGCAGAAATCTTTGCTCTCTATTTACTGTACTACCCTATCTATTCCCATTAATATTTTGAAAGTTTGGATTTACAATGACCACTGGATCCCCCTGTCTTCTGAGTTGTTCTCTGGAAAGGTCCCTGCTCCTCCTGCCTGGCCGCCCACCCTGAAGGCAAGAGTTCCCCTCCTTTCTGTTATAGCGCCTGTACCAATGCCGCCAACACAATATCTAAAATACTAGGGGTGGGGACAATCTCACGACTGTTGCATTATTTCATATCCAGCCAGCTCACCTTTGAAAGGTGGCATAAACTAATGCACATTAAGTGGTGCAAGTTATCGCTGCATTGGTTAATAATCTATATACTCTATTCTTCTTTTCTTCATATGCATAAGATTGTGAGATTTGGCTGTTACTTCCATCTTTGCTGTAAAACTTTCTCCAATTTTTTTTTCTTCCTTGCTGGATATAGTTGTGCAAACTGGTTACCCTGATACCTAAACTGAATATTCATTCAAACAGTGAAAATGATTAGGCTTTGAGTCACTAATTATAGCCAATTCGAGTCACAGAGGTCTACAGCACGGAAACAGGTCCTTTGCTCAACTTGCCCATGCACCCTGTTTTCACAATCAAACTACAGTGGTCCACTTGCCTGCATTTGGTCCATATCCCTCGACACCTGTCCTATCTGTGTATCCGTCTAAATGTTTCTTAAATGACAAAATTGTACTCGCGTCCACCGCTATCCCTGGCATCCCGTTCCAGACACTAGCTATCCTCTGTGTGAAAAAATTTACCCCTCTGGACCCTTTTGTATCTCTCCCTTCTCACCTTAAACTTATGCCCTCTAGTTTAGATTCCCCTACCATGGGGAAAAGCAGTTGGCTATCTACCATATCTATGCCTCTCATGATTTTATAGACATCTATTATCTCACACCTCAGTCTCCCAAGCTCCAGGGAAAAAAGTCAAATGTTATCCCTCATAAAACATCAGATAGGCACACCCTCCTACTGGAACTAATGAACAAAGGAGTTGAGCAATAGCCAGCAGTTGTTCCTGGCTGATCACACTGACAAACTAAGGAATAACTCGTTTTATTACTAAATGGCATTACATACATGTTGTAAATCTACATACATCATTGTTCCTGTTTTCAACAGTCAGTATCATCTCACAGATTTACAATTTATCATCCAGTGACATTGCGAATCAGGTAATCACAGATGTTATCACTGATACAAAGCTAGTTTATTTTAAATTTACCACAAAACAAGATTCACAATCTGTATGTATGTCTCTGAAAAGTTAAGTATCTCAACAGAGCTGAAAGGATTTCCATGTAGCAAAGCTAAACAAAGGTTTCATCTTACAAATGCAGCATTAATCATCAGAATGAATGAGCTGGTCATTGCTGGAGATACAATGTGTCGCAGTTTGCATCAGCATTCTCTACAGCACACAGTAGAATAAGTTGCCAGGGCCCAATGAGCAGCAGTATTTGATGCAGAAGTATAGATATTAGGTGAGGCTACTGCAGAACCTGCAATTATGTCAGTGTGTGTGTAAAAAAAAATAATTTTATTACATTCTCTGACATAATAAAAAAAACTCCACAAAAATAACCTTTATTTGGCAGCTCAGTTAAATTCAATTTCTTCCTCTTAAATGTTATATTCAGTAGCACTGAGCAGATGATGGACAGTGTTCAGCTGAGTCAATTCTCGTAATATATGTGGCTTTAATTTCTCTATGATTTAGGTAACATGTTTCTTCATTCCATTTTCCTATTGCTATATCTGAGAAAGTACATAAGATTCACATCAGCTTATTAGTTTTTGAAAACTGGTCAGAAATACATAATTATACAAGCTGATAAAACACAGGTTTACAGCTCTGGCCATTCAATGTACAACAGATCAGGCATTACATTTCTCTACTATATTCCTCTCTATATAGTTAGTGGGAGAGAAGAATTACATAAAATTTTTAACAATAACATGGTTAGAGTGTGAAACCTGATCCCACAAATAGTATTTGAAGAGAATAGCACAGATGTATTTAAACTAAACTTTACCTAAGCTAGATAAAGAAATGAGGGGACAAGGACTGTAAAGTTATGAGAACAGGTTCAGATGGGGAGGGGCGTCATATGGAGCATTAACACTGGTATGAGATGGGTGGATTAGCCTGATCATGTGTTTCCAAGCTATACACTTAATTCAATCATGTAGTTCTTTGGAAATTTATTTTCCATACTCAAAGAATTACAAGTCGAGGTGCTGAAAAGAATTAACTATTTTCCCTTGAGGAGTTATCAAAAATGAGAGAATGTAATATTAAAATTGCAGCTGGATCACTTAGCAGAGAAACCAAGAAACATTTAATCAAACAAATACTGGAAAAAATCTCAAATTGACAGTTGAATTGTGTAGTTACTGGAATAATTAAAGCTATCAAGACTGATTGTATTTTTTATTACGTAACAGTATCAAAGGATTTTTAAGTTATTTGTTCACAGGATGTGAAATTCACAAGCAAGGCTAGCGTTTCTTGCCCATCCCTAATTGCACTGGAGAAGGTGGTGATGAGCTACCTTACTGAACTGCTGCAGTCTTTGCCATGTAGGGACACCCACAGTGCCATTAAGAAGGGTGTTTTGACCCAGTGATAGTGAAAGATCAATGATATAGTTTCAACACAGCATGTGTATGGCTTGGAGGAGAACTTCCAGTTTCAAAACCTGCCCCATGTAACATGTTGATAATGCCATACAACATGAAGGAAGGTATCCTCAGTGTGAAATAAGGGACTTCGTTTTCACAAGAATTGTGTGGTGGTTTTACTGCTAATACTGTCACAGCAGATGCATTTATGACAGGTAGATTGGTGATGATGAGGTCAAGTAAGTTTCTCCCTCTTGTTGGTTCCTTCAGCGCTTGCTATAGACTTAGTGTAGCTCTTATGTCCTTTAGGATTCAACCAGCTTTGTCAGTAATGCTTCTGATGAGCCACATTGGGTGATGGAAATTGAAGTCTGCCAACTGGAGTACATTCATTGCCTTTGCCACCTTCTCTGCTTCTGAAATTGGTGTTCAACACTGAGGTGTACTGAGGGGGTAGGGGAGTGGGGGGGGGGGGGGGCGGGGCGGTGGGTTGCAAGATAGGTGGTAATCAGCACGATGTCTTCCTTGCCCATTTTTAACTTGAAGCCATGAGAGTTCATGAGGTCTGGAGTCAATGTGAGTGCTCCTTGGGCAACTCTCTCCCAACTGTATACCAATGTGCTGCCATCTCTGCTGGGTTTGTCCTGCTGGTAGAATAGGATATATCTAGGAATGGTTTGGTGGTGACTGGAACATTGCTTGTAATTTTGCATGGTTCTTTGAATATGAATAGTTCAGGCTGTTGTTTGATCATTCTGTGGGATAGTTCTCTCAATTTTGATCCCCCAAATCTTACAAAGAAGTACTTTGCAGAGTCAACAGGGCTCATTTTCCTGTTGTATTTTTTTCTAGTCAATGACCAGTGGTCCATTCAGTTTCATTGGTTTTCTTGGATTTTGTAGCAGTTTGAGTTAACTGAGCAGCTTAGCAGCTCAGAGTCATCATATTTCTGTGGGTCTCAAGTCACATTTGGCTAGGCCAGGTAAGGATAGCGGGTTTCCTTCCTATAGAAATTCTCAGGGAATAACGTGAACTGAGGTACAGATCACCCTTGATCTAACTGAATGGTATGGCAAGCCTGAAGGACTGAATCATCCTACAGGCTGAATTTTAATGGGAGCTATGTTCTCCACCTCCTTCAAAAGCTCTGCTATCTCCCAGCCATGTTACGCTGGGTCATGACATTAATTGGCTAAGGGCAAACACACCAGCAGAGGACCATAAAATCCACCTCTACATTCTTGGATCAAAATGGCAAGAAGCTGTTTAATGTGAGGATTGGATGGTTCAGGGACACAGTTTGGGAAATTTTACAGACAGCATTTCATAAATATTTGAATGCACGGACATGTGAAAGATATTACTTTTGATACCACTGGTTGTGCACTTTTAATCAGCAAGAAAACAAAGTTTAGGTTATCTTGACTTAGTAAGTATCATTAAAAATAGAAATAAGTGATTTGATTTCTGAGTTTTTAAAATGCATTATTTGTATGATTTAGACTGTAATTCAACACCAATATCTAATCTTGAAATAACTAATTTGACTAACTGTATATTTCTGAAACTTTTCTCGCTTAATTTTTTCTGTCCATAAATATTTTAATGCATGGAATGAGTAATAAATATCCTTGAACTTCTGCTGAATCCTTATACTTTTGTCAAATAATAATTTGTACTTACTGTTTCCTTTATTGCAGGCAGCTGGTTTTGTTTTGAAACCGATTATAATAATTATAACCAAACCAAAAAACAACACAGTTGCAGTACTTATAAAGACTGGTGCCCGCCAACCTGAAATAAATCAGAAATGCATTAAAATTTATCTTGCATGAAATGACTGAAATTGGCAGTTTAAATAACCTAAGATGTGACAGAATTAGTGTAAATTAAATAAACGTTGTTCCTACATCAAAGTGTGCGTGTTCAATAGATAGAAGCCAAATAAAGTGAAAATGCACACTTGTTACATAGGTAATTTACTTCTTTTGTTTGCATACATGGACAGACACTCCAAGTCCAGATAAAAAGAGCAAGAGATTAACTCTACACTGCATGTTATTGGTTTTCTTCTAAAAAAAAGCTAATATCCATTTCATTTGAAGCATGATGATGTTGATTGCATTTTACAGTGGCATTGCTTGTATTAACTTTATCTTTTCATAAGGCCACTGATCAGGTTCTTGGTGCTGAACAGATCCAAATATAAACCCATCTGGCTCAATCAGAGGCTAATTGCTGAGGGATGCTCTGTGATTCATTGTTATCAATAAACTTTCATGGATGAGGCAATAACATTGAACTCATTGAAAAAACCCACACAATGTTGCTACATTTCTTCCTTTCTCATTTATACTTTCAAACCATTGAAATGTCACTGCACATCCTTGATTCAATACTTTATTTCCAGTAGAATGCCTCTATAGTGTTTGCACTTGGTCATATTGGTACCTTTACAGCTGCTTATGATGCTTGCTGCAGAACAATGGCGCAGTTCTATTTGGTTTACTTTGTAATTTTTCATTCACATTTTTTCTGAGCAGACTAGAAGAGATGTTTGTCTTTATAAAAAGTTTCTGTGGATACTTTCACAAACAGAGAATTGCAGAACATTTTTGAAAACACTTTAATAATAAATAATAAACATTTAAAGGTTTATCACCAAACGTTTTAGATCTTGATGTCGTTTTTTTTGTAAGTAAGCATTGAAGAGCTGACTTCAACTATATTGTTAAGGAGGAGTAGGTGCCTATAGGTTCTTGTAAATCAATAACTTCATCCTTTTTGGAATGGACAAATAATTTGTACTAATGTTGTCTTGAAAATATCTAAGATATAATGGGTGAACAACCAATGTCAAGGAAGTCAGTGTAAGGAAAGAGAAAATAACTTGCATTAATTCATCACATAGCACAATTTCATGTTTTTTTTATTTAACCAATGTCTCCCAGTACGGGGTCACCTCCACTGCACCACAAGAAAGCCCAAGTTTGTGAGTCCCCAGCATGACTCACAATGAATTAATTGATTCTGAAGGATTGCCACAGTTGCATTGTTGGAAAACAATCAATTTGCATTGAGTAAGAGCTACACACAGAAATAAGTGAGGCAACCCACTCATCTGTTTTTGCAACATTGGATAATGCTCATGGAACACTGGGAGAACTCAACTCCTGACTCTTCATCAAGTCATGCCATGGGATCTTTCATATCAACTGAGCAAGTTCACCATCTTATTGAAGTGCTGAAGGAAGTTTGAAAGTACAATGATTTAATTCAGAGGTAGCAAGGGTATAACCGAGCTAACAATGACATGTGAATTTCCTTAACTAACATAATGTTTTCTAGATTTCACTTTTAAAAAATCTGAGTTGAATGTTGTTAGAGTCCAGTAACTGCATAACTGAACTGTTAGTTACACAGTGTCAGGTACTCTGTAAAGATACTCTTCAAAACACTGAAGTTACAATGATCAGGGGATGCATGATGGAAATTAATTTGACATGCATTAAAATTCGTTGCAACTGTGTCATAAATTTACGATAATTTGCATTCAGAGCATCCTTGTTTTCAGCAAGCCATGCCTAATTACAATCAAACTGCCAGAACGATGGACGCCATCTCTACCCCATCTAATAATATCTTGACCAAACTTGACTGTACCTTCACACAATAGGTGCATTTTATTTATTCAGGATATGTGTGAAAAATGTACTTCTGTAAGAGTGTCATGTCTCTCTTCACTATAGCAGTGAGAACTTGCATATTTAACATAGAATTTAACATAGTAAAACAGGGCACTTCAGAGTAGCATTATTAGACAAATCTGAAGATAAGTCACAAAGCAAACGTGAGAATATATGAGCAAACGTTTGATCAAAAGAGAAGTTTTCTGGAACATGTTAAACGGGGAAGAGAAAGTTTGAGACTCAGACACATTTACAAAGTACATTCCAGACATATAGCCCAGACAGCTGAATGAATAGATACCAATTGAGGAGCAATTAAAACAGGAATTGTACAAAATTGGAATAATGCAGAGGATGGAAAGGGCTAAGATTTCATAAATAGGTGAGACCTTGGGGCATCTTGGAAGCAAGGAAGAAAATTTAAATTTGATATGATGCTGGAAAATGTGCCCACTTAGTTCAAAGAGCACGGGGATGGTGGATGAATGGAACATGCTGAAAATATAATGCTGGTAGCAGAGTTTGAATGGGCTTACATTTGTCAGAGGGTGGAAGGGGAGAGGCTGGACTGGAGAATAGTCAAGTACTGTGTTAAGAGTAGATTTTACAGTCTCTCACCTTTAGAATTATGGCCATTACACTTCTCTAGTTTCGGTGGATCACTGGTTTCACTGCTGACTGGATTCTCTGCTACACACATGTACTCGTATTGGTTCTGTTCATGATCGTGGCTTAGCACCAGTTCAGCTCCGTCATTGATTCTACTTATGGCTCCAGATGAGGATTTTTTTTCCCAGTGTAACGTGACATTTGTACCATTGGAAACAGAGCAACTTAGGCTGACATTTGTAGTTGAACAATTTATTGTTATCGAAGGCTTGGAAACTGGCTCTAAAATAGAGACAACAATTAGGAGGTGAATGGCAAGATGATGGCATTAGATGAATTTTGACATTTACATTTTGTGGAAAAATAAATGATTGGTTATATTTGAACAAAGTATGTAAATTGGAAATGTGTACAACTGGATTACTGGAAATTTTTGGTCAATCACCCACACAAACACTAGCCAATGTCAATGTACTGTGGTCAGTACAATCTCTGTCTGTACTACAACTCTAATTAATTCTATAAATCTCACAAATTTAATGGGTTAATACGGATGCTTGAAATTTACTACAGGCCCTGACTTTGAAAATGATAACTCAAATAATCTATTTACAGATGCTGGTGAACTTACTGTAAAAATAAAAGACCTGGGATGGTGAGGCAAGGGCCCACAGAGTGAACATACTGCCTTTCTCTGTCTACAGTATTCCTGATCTCAGCTGTGGTCCTGAGTCAAAGCTGAGAACCTTCTCACTAAGTAACCATGCTATTATGCTTTCCAGTAATTGTCATAGATACAAGCTGAGTTTAAAAACATTTATTTTAAAGTTATATAATCAAGCAGCTTACCAAACACTTGCAGTTGAAATATTGTTTCTTCTGTCACTGTTGATGGTTTACAGCAATCGATTTGTATTGCATACGGTTTTGTGTCATTAATCTGTACATTCTGCAGCACCAGAGAGCAATTTGTGGCAATTTGCAGTCTGTTTTTATACAAAATATGTGTGGAAAGTGGCGTTATTCCCCAGGAAGCCAATTTAGCATGAATTGGTGATTTTGACAGAAATGCTACTTCACACTGATTTCCGCATGGGATGGCCACGGGAAACAGAACCTGTTTACCCACAATTGCATTTATGATGGATATAGCTGAGATCTCTGTTCCAAACACTGTAAGCAAACTAAACACTGAAATTGAAAAAAAAATCTACATTAAATTGATGAATACGTATCTTCCTGAACAACCATCAATTTAATAATCATATAAGTCTTTTACCTGAAAGCAGTGTGAGCATTTTCATATTGAGGATTTCTTGACTGTGCTGTATTCTGTATATTTATTTCTTGTTTTCCATGGTCTAGCATAAAAGAATTTCATCTGTAGGCATTTAAAATTAATTTATTGAATAATTGCACAGCATTTGCATGTGAATCTAGCTTTCGCTCAATTGTAGTCTGTTAAGATATTTTGTTTTTAAATTGAAACCATCAATGATGGGCACAGTTCATTGTATGAGACCACTAAGATTAAGAGAAGTATGAGTCTGAGAATTAGAGAAGCAGTAATCAATTCTTACCAAGCTCAGATTTGAAAACTAATAGTTCAAGGAGGATAAGACAATTGGAAAGAAACATGCAGAGATGTACAGATTTGAGAACCTGGGGAAGAATGAGCCAGAACACAATGCAGTTAAATAGGATGGAAAATGAAGCAGTTGGGTCTTCCAAGGAGCAGGAACAGATAGCTTAGAGAACCAATCATCAGTATATTATTTGCAAAATAAAGACAGACAAGAAAAAGTGTGAGAGAGGAGGCTTGATGTGGGAAATATTTATCATATCACAAGCATTACCTTATATCTTATTTCTCCTCTTGCAAACATCTGCCAAATGGAGATGTGGCTGTAGGAGTAGACTCATCAGCCACACAAGGACCTACGGAACCCATGACCATTGACATGGTATTTCCTAGGTCGACAATCATACTCATTAGCGAGTGATTGATGACGACGACAGATCCAGGAGTGTGTGAAAATTTTACAAGGTTCTTCATGTATGATGATTAACACCACGAAGAAACACAATGGGATGATTCAGGAATCATATGACATTTTTTTTAAAAACGAGAATACAAGTTATCATTGCAATTTCTCTGCCTTGCCTCTGTCGATTCTCACCATCTCCGGGCTTGGGAAATGAATTTGCAACAGCAAAGCATTAAACCACAGGAGAGGATGAATTCAGTTCATCTGTTTCATGCTGTCAACATCACACCTCCTTACTGACCCATCAAGAGAGATAATGGCTGTAGTAAGTAGACTGTGGCTGAGACCACAGAGAACTTGCAGATGAAGTGGGCCCTGTGAAGGCAAGTGGCTTTACGCAGCAGCAACAAATGAAACAGGTTCCAATATTTACACTCATAAAATGATCATTTCAAATGTTCAAGGAAATTCAACGTCATAACCTTTTACAGTTTAACTCTGGAAAATGCAGGTGCTTTTAAATATGTATAAGTCAAGCACATAATTAGAATATTAAACTTCTCTGATTCAGTCTTCATGTTTGTGCGTGCAGTAGTAAATGTCAGACAAGTTGTGGCTTAATTTGACCTTGACACGCACAAAATGAATGAGGGAATGCGAAAAAAAACATGGAAAACGAGCTAGCCTATATTATCCGATGATAAATTGGCAAAAGGATGTCAAAATAATGTGTTTCACTTGAAGGGAAAAAAAAACACGCAACCAGAATAAATTCAATCATCAATCACGGGAATCCAGGGGGTCAATACAACAAATTCTACCATCTAACCCAACCAGTTACACTTCATAGTGTGGAGCTGGAGGAAAACACGGCAGGGCAGGCAGCATTAGAGGAGCAGGAAAGCTGACGTTTCGGGTCGGGACCCTTCTTCAGAAGTCGGCATCGGCAGTTCTTACTATCTCAGTTACACTTCATTCTCTTTGCCCTAGAAAAGTACGGGCGTACAATGATTTTTTCTGTGCCCTCACATTCAATAGTAGGAACTCCTAATGATCTAGCTCTTTAGTAAAGGCGTTAATAGCATTAATTTATTAGTAATGAAAATGTATTCCAAGTATCTTCCATGATGAGTACGAGATTGAGAAGGACACGGAGGTTGAACTGATTTTGATTGCGTTGATTTTCAATTTGTTTTACTCCTTTGTTCTTCGACGTTATGTTTACGTGAAATGAGCGCCTTTGACAAACACAAGCACACCAATATTTTTGGCTTTGAATGAAACCGAAGTTTATGAGCACCATGCCGAAACGAAGGATTTATCGTATAAGGATATGCAACATTGTGAAATATCTCAGGCAAAGACTGTATCCGTAGGTGAGATGGTTTAAAATTAGAAAGGTATTTGTACGGATTTTACTGCGACCAATCTTCACCCGTTGAAGTAATCTCAACAGAAGAGTAAAAGATGTAATTGAGCAAAGGATTCACTTTAAAAAAAAGACGTAAGGGCGAATCGAACAAACATTACATTGAATATTGAATTAATTTCTTGTAAAAATACTTCGATTTAATGATGTGATAATATTGTCAGTTCTGAGGAAGGGTCGCTCGATGTGAAACATTAACTCCGATTTGTCCATAGATGCTTCCAGACCTGCTGAGCTTTTCCAGCAATTTCTGTTTTTGTTTCTGTTATTATTGCCTATAGATTTTTGATTTATTTGCAAAACTATAATTTCAGCTACAAAGAGAATCTGTTGGAGTTAAAATTTATGCAAACATTAAATAAAAAGACTCCTCATGTGGTCTATTCCCTTTTCGGAATAAACGTATTAAATTATTTCCAGAAGTAACCCTCAAGTTTAAGGGGACTCACATGTTTGCAACCAAATTTGTCTCATATTGAACGTTCTGCTTTAAATTTTTAACTCGCACGACACAGCATTCCAAGTTCCAATATGTAATATCAACTTGCATTTATGTAGCGCTTTTAATGCAGGGAAAGGTCCCCGCGTCGTTTCACAGAGTCTTGCGGGTAATGCACAGTCCCAATAATAACCGCCGCTCCCCGTTTTAAACACCGCTTTGCAAAACTGCAGCTTTCCCGCGGACAGGGTTCTGCGCGTCGCCTCCAGTGGCCACTTACCTCCAGACAGACTTTATAACATTCCCTTATCAAAATGCAAAGAAAGGCTGCGCCTGAGAAACAGCGTCTGAGATCACGGTGCAAATCCAGGCATTGTGTTGCGCTCCAACGATCTGGTGCCGACACGTAACAGAACAAATCGATTCCTCAGACACGGACAGAAAACGCTGGCAAGACTCCGCAAACTCAGGCAGCCTGTGTGGAGGGAGAGGGACAGACAAGGTTAAAGTTTCACATCAACGTTCGGTTTCTGCTTCTGTTCAATTCGTTAACATTTCATCTAGGTTTGAGAATAGTCCCAGTTCGTTTCACACGCAGTTGCTGGTTTAATAAACCCGTTAGTCTGACAGTGCGCTAGTAGATCAGTCTGTAACCCACCTCCGCGAAGTGCAATGGAGAGAGAAAAATATCTCACAAAACATTGAAATGACAAACTAGATAGACTTGGTTACAAGAATCCTGTAAAACATTGTTATTCCAGGACAAAATCTTGTTGGTAAACATTTTTGTTCCAAACAGAAGAAAGAGCTTTTTAAAAAAATCCGTGAATGTGTTTTACATTGATTCGAACGAAAACTGAACGGTACCTTTTTGTTTTAGTTATGCCCCCACTGCTAATTAACTTCAGAATCACAATTAAATTGGATCCAGGTCATTTTCACCAGCTTTTGTTTTTAAAATGCACTTTCTATTGAATTTTATTAACTTTGCAGTGAAACCACTCTGCTCTCTCTGTCACCTTTGATTATTTACCCAGTCGCCGAGTCTCCCTAAGACTCCCTCACTTACACGACTGCTGCTTCTCTCTTCAAGCGCCTCCTCTCCATCTGTTCGCACTGCCCTGAACACGGGGCATAAACTGGAACCAGAGCTCACAGGAAGGGCCGGCTGATTGATGTGCGCTGGACACTGTTGGCTCTGAAAGTGATTTCTAACTATCAGTATTAGGCTAGTAGTAAAGGGGCACCTTGTAAATCTGTATAGGTATGTATACCTCTGTGCGGAACTACGTTTAATGTTTATTATGGTACAGCTGGATGTCCTTCACCTTAAACGGAATGAATGACGCTGTGTAGAAATGAGCTAACTTTTCGTTGTCATCTTGTATGGTCTTTGTTCATCTCTTACTGACTGGCAGTTAGATTTGACACTTAATTTATTCATTTTATATTGAAATCTTTAAATTCATTGGTGAAAACAGCCACAAATATAGGAGCAAAGAAGGCCATTCAGCCCATTGAGTCTGAACACCATTTAATGAGATCATGGCTGAATTGATAATCCTCAATTCCACTTTCTAGAATCTTGAAAGATTTCTAGCACAGAAAGAAACCAATCAGCCCTGTAAGATACACCCTCTGCCGTCACCATCACCATCTTTTTTCTAGAAACCTGCGAATTATTTCTGTTTGGTGTTTACTCAGTTCTCTTTTGAAAGATACCATTGAATCCATCACACTCTCACGCAGTGCAATCCAGACACACATTAAAAAAATAGTGTTCCTATGCCTTCTATTCTTTTGCTAATCACTTTCCTAGGTGTCCTCTCATTTTGACTCTTTTGTGAATGGGTTTCCATCTACTTGTTTTGATGTCTCATAATTTTGAACATTTATAGCAATCTTCTCAACATTCCCTTCTTTAAACAGAGCCATCCCATTGCCTCCAATCAAACCACTTAACCAAAGTGCCTCTTTCCTGTGCCATTCACAGAAATCTTTTCTGTACCCTCTCTAAAACCTTCACATCTTTCTTAGCATGTAATGTCAGAATTGGGCATAATATTCAAGTTGAGGCTAAACTAGTGCATTATAAAGATTCATCAGAACTTCTTCACTTCTGTCCTTTATGCCCTATAATATGAAGCCTAGAAACCCTTGTGCCCTTTTATAGTTTTCTCAACCTGCTCAGTCACCTTCAAACAATTGCGCACATATACCTCCAGGTCTTGCTTCTGAGCCCACTTTAGAATTGTGCTATTTTGTCTGTATTGTCTCCCTTTGCTTTTCCTACCAAAATGTATCCCTTTCCATTTCTCTGCATTAAATTTAATCTGCCACATGTTCACCTATCCCACTAGTCTGTAGATGTCCTCCATCTCAGTTCTCCTCACTGTTAACTATATTTCCAAGTTTTGGTTATTTTGCAAATTTTGTTCTGCATGTTCAACTATGGATCATTGATACATATCAAGAAAAGCAGCTATCCTAGTACTGACCCCTGGGAAATCCAATTGTATGCCTTCCACAAAACCAGTGAAAAAGCTCACCACTGCTTTCTGCTTCCTGACAACTAACTTTTTATTCATTGCTATCACTATCCTTTTTATTCAATGGGCTTCAGCTTTGCTGTGAAAACTACTATGTGGCATTTTATTATTTTTTTCAAAGTCCTTATACACCACAGTAATCACATTACCCTCATCAATGCTTACTTCATCAAAAAGTTCAATCAGGTTCGTTACATATGTTTGCATTTCATAAATCTGAGCTGGATTTTTAATTAGTCCACACTTGTCCCACTGTTAATTTTGATACAAACTATTGTTTCTTAAAACTTTCCTGGCTCTTAGGTCAAATTGATTGGCCTGTAGTTACTAGGTTTATTCTTACACTCTTTATAAACAAAATGTTGTATTGTAGCAACCAATTGATTTGAAGCCTTCTTTTGAAAATTGCATCAATGTCTTAAAACTGTTAACTGATTTGAAACACTTAAATTTTAAAATGAAATTATTTTGATTGCCTGGTCGTTGAAATGCACCACAAAACACTCATAGTTAAAAAATTGCCATCTCACCCACAAAGGTGTTGTTTTGTAGCTTACTTTCTTCACTTGCATGAGTGAATTCTTACTTCTCTTTCATCTAGTTGCATTCTTATTCATATGTGGGCTGATTTGAGATTCATAGAATGCTAGCACTAATTCTACTTGCAGGGGCATTACAAAATATAAGCACCAACACTCTTGTTTAAACCAAAAGCCATGTCTATATAAATAATATGTATTTCTTTCCCACCACTTCGGTTAGAACAACCCTACAATATGATTATATAAAGTACCTTTACTGACCTACACATTTTCCATTCAGCACTTGAAAACACCTTAAACAAATAGGCATCATTAATGCTGCCTGCGGTGAATGTGTGTGGGAGGACCTTGCGCTTTCCATCATATTAATAAAAGACCATCAAATGTGTTTGTTTATAGCTTTGTGTACATAATAATGTTTAGATTTAGGCTAGTTTCAGTAAGTTGCATTTGTTCTTTTTGTTTATAGCTTTATGTACATAATAATATTCAGATTTAGGCTAGTTTCAATAAGTTGCATTTGTTCTTTTTGTCAGAATACATACAAACCAGCTATGTTATTAATTAATGTAGTTTTTATATGAAATTCATACTTGCTTTGTAATTATTGGGCTTTTGCACCTAGAAACATAGGATTAGGAACAGGCCAATTAACCCCTTACAGCTTGTTGTTCAAGATTATGGCTGATTTGTTAAGTAACTCTGTTTATTTAATTTATCAATGCTACTTGGTAATTTTGCATTCCTATCTACATTACTTAAAGAACAACTATCCTTGTGTCATTGAATATGTGATTATCTATTCCAACGGTTCTCAACCTTTTCAGTATCAAGCACATTTCAATGAGGAAAAACAATTCCACAGCGCACTCAATTTCTTCATACCATATGTGTTGTATCAGAAGTCTATACATGCATAGCTCTGGAGGCTTGTGTGTGGCAGTCAACAGGGGGTCCTGGTGTCTGCAGATACTGCCTTCAATTATAGACATTGAGGCTCTGCAGGAGCAGAAGAATGGATCTGGCCTCGTTACTAACATAAAGTGGCGCTGCTTCCTGAAAATTTCACCAGTGTGCCATAGTACTCTGGTTTATAACCACTGATCCATCCGACAGTCGAGGTTGTTGGTTAAGTGTGATGAGTAGTTGAGACTGCAACATGGATCTTTACAGCACCAATCACATCCTGCCAACTGGAGCCACTGTCCATTATCTCTTCTCTCTGTCTCCTTGTGCTTAACTAATTTAGGTCAGGTCAATCACGAGTCTTCAATTCCACTGGTTTCAAATTTAGTTAGTATTCTCTTTTGTGTTGCATTATGAAAGCCTTCTAGAAGTCTATGCAGATAATATTGAATGCAATCTCCTGTTCACTGCTTTTAAAAACATAAGCTAGAGTCATCGGCTGTGACCTACCCTTTTCAAATCCATGCTGGCTCTCTCTGATTAGCTGAAAATGTTCAACATGTTCAGCAACTCTGTCCTTAATTATACACTCCTGTAATTTTCTAAAAACACAAGAAGCTAACTGCTTTATAATTCTTTTACTTTTTTCTCGCACCTTTCTTACTTAGCAATGTGACACATGCAATCTGAAGGAATGGTACTTGAATCTAAGGAATTCTGGAAGATTATAATTGGGGTACATGCAATATCCTCATCTACTTTCTCAAAATTCTGGGATGGACATAATCTGGTTCAGGGAATTTGTCTGTTTATTGAAAGTTTATTTATGCTATTTTAGTTAAAATAACAAACAAAAATCACATAGAACTGTCAGCCAATGACTTACAGATCAAGGATGTTGGCGGTTTGCATCATAATTATTTGGAGGATGATAAACTCATGAACATCTCAAATCTCTTCAGCCAAATCCCCATTGATTGGATCTGACACTTCTATGTAAGTGGGAAAGAAGGTCAAAGAGCATTTCAGTGTAACCCATAACCTCATCTCCAAATACAAGGAGGTGTAGAAAAATACATGACATGTCACCTGGATTTTCAATTAGGAAATGGTCTGCAGCACAGTTAAAGTTAAATTAGGAGAATAAATGTATGCTAGAGTTAGTCAAATAATATAACAAGGCTGTTAGTAGTGTTATCTCAAAGACTGCTGCTTGTTCATCTTTTATATGATGTTTACGATCACCTTTTAAGTACAATGTATGAGATAGAATCAGAAAGTCTGACTAAACTATGAAAAAAATAATATCTACTAAATAATTATTATTTTATATATAAAAATAAGAAATTATTATTCACGTTCATGGAGTGTCAGTGACAACATGCAATGATTCAAAATATCAACATAAAACCATTTTTCTAAGATACCCATAGCACCATACGACATAAAATACCATATAATGCTATAAAAAAGTATGAGAACATTTAACGCATCATACCTGTGCCAGCTCTTTGAAAGAGCTGTCAAATTAGTTCCAGTGAACTCTGGTAGGTTATATTTAGGAAACTTCACTCTATCCCCAGTGTCCAGCAACATTTTATCACTTATCTATTTATTCAGTTCCAGTTTGAAAGTTACTATTGAATCTGCTGTCACCACCCTTTCAACAGTTAATTCCTGATCAAAACCTTGTGTACAAATATAAAAACCTCCTCATCTTGCTACGGGTTCTTTTGTCAATTATCTTAAAACTTTTCATGGTTTTAAACATTACCATTACATCTCATAAGTTATTTTGCTCTAGAGTGAGTTCCAACAGCTTCTGTGTTTTCTCTACATAATCAAAATCCATCATCTTTGATTCTTTGGTAGCTTCTGTCTCATAAGACAATGGTATACCATGTGGTGGCCAACTCTTTGTTAAACATTACCTGGTGTGGTTCAAAAGCTTTACTTTGGTATGGCAGCCACTCTGGTGCTTGCTGCAGAGGAAGACAGTGGGCTGATAAGTTATAGGATTAACTGGCCTCTATTCATCTCTCTTCTTGA